CCAAGATCAGTTTTACCTGCTAGGCTCATTTGGGAATTAACTGCCATTATCCTCAGACAAATTTTCATGTAGTTAAAAAAAAAAAGGCAGAAGTTAAGTTTCCTCTTTCTGTATTAGAGAGGTGAAGACTTAGCAGTCACATCTTTCAAAGAGAAATTCAAGCAGCTTACGGGTGCTGTTGTTTTCTGTGGAGCACCTAGACAAGTCTCCAGATTGGAGCACAGCAGTGAGCCATGCTGCAAAACAAAGCAGTTCACATCCGCTTCTTTTAGACACACTCTGGGATCAGGTCATGAAAAGGTACTTCCCAGGGGTTTGCCATTTTGGGGAAGAGTTTGGTAATAGTGGTCCCCATAAGAACCCAGTGTTGTGAAGGGTAGGGAAGGCCTGCAGGAAGTGAGAACATGTTTGAGGTGAGGAAGAGGCAGGGGAGCCCTTAAGAGTTCCTGCCTTCCTCTTCCTCCTAACTTTCCTGTCAGCCTTAGGGAAGCATACTGGTACCTTCCAACTGGGAGCCCTCTCAGCAGACTGCAGCCTGAAGTCAGGGGAGAGCTGACTGGAGGCAGGGGAGAGCTGACTGGAGGCAGGGAAGGTAGAAGCTGTCTAGCACTGTAGAGTTCTGTCTTCTTTTGAAGATCTGCAGAGAAGATCAGTGTTGCTGGCCCCTTGAGGGCAGGCTCTGGCTTTCTCCTCTACCCACAGCTTAGCAGAGCGTCCACAGTCCAATTGCTGTCCCTAAGGACAAGGGAGAAAAATCAAATGCCACTAGAGATTAGCTGAGAGGAACCCTGGCTCCTGAAGGGCATAGCTGTAAGAGCAGAGGGAGCTGTGGAGGGAGAGAGAGTAAGTTCCATAGGCTCCAGCTGTGCTGGTTCTGCTTGAAAGTTTTCAGGCTGTATGTACTTGTGGGTATAGAGAAATCAGAAAAGTTCAGATGCTTCATATGTGTTAGAAATGTGACTTTTCCCTTTACTGCACAGAACTGGGTCCCTGAGTTCACTTTCCTCTGGGTTACCTCCAGGTTGCTCATTCTCCCCCCGTCCCCCCTCACCCCCCACCCCACACCTGTTAACATGCTTTTTGACAGCTTCTTAATTTTGTGACGTCTACTGAAATCATACACAACTTCAGAAGTTGGAAGCACCAATTCAGTGCCTTTGTGAGCCGCTCTGGTTGATTACATTCTTGGAAGATGTGTGATGACTCCGTTTCCAGCATCTTATAGAATGGAAAGCACCTGGGCAGATCGCACATGACCCTGAGTTAGCCAGGATGACTCCGTGACCACAGGTTATAGTCTCCGGTCTGACGAATTCTGTTTGCTGTCTGACTTAAGCGGGTGTTTTCCTCCAGTCATTTGGCTTTCTCTTAGCCTTTGTTTCTAGTCTCTCTCTATTTTTTTTTTTTTTTGGTTTTTCAAGACAGGGTTTCTCTGTGTAGCTTTGCGCTTTTCCTGGATCTCGCGCTCTAGACCAGGCTGGCCTCGAACTCACAGAGATCCGCCTGCCTCTGCCTCCCGAGTGCTGGGATTAAAGGCGTGCGCCACCACCACCCGGCTAGTCTCTATATTTTTTACTCATCTAGGACTTGCCCACCCGCCTCCCTTTAGTACTGGGGCCTCAGAGCTAGGACCTCTGAGGAAGCCAGCTATTGGGTGGGCCCACTGTTGAATTTTTCAGGCAGGCAGGTTTTTTTTTGGGGGGGGTGTGGGGACTCCCTGCTCTGCAGGTGGACAGACATGACTTGCGTGGGGTCCTACTTTTCTGTTCTCCTTATGGTTCGTTACTCTTCATTGTTGTTGAGACCTGCAGAATCTTTAGAATTCTCTTTCCGTGAACATCTTTAAAACATCCTATATTTGACTTCAATTTTAGCTATCTGCTTGTGTAAATCAAATGATGCTTTCTTCATTTGTGAAAATAACAACATCAATACTTGCCAACACTTGTATGTTGCATTAGAACACTGGTTTTACTTGTCATTTAAAGTTAAGTTTAGGATCGTCACAGTAATCCCGTGGCTTGGAGGGCATTATTTTTCTCTTCAGTATAGATTTATTTAGCTTTAATAACTTCCAGTATAATGTTACCCAACAAATGACTCAGTCTCCTTGCCTGCAAAATGGAGAAGCATCTGTTTTATGGGATTCTGAGAAGTGAGTAATTCAGGCAAAGTCACTGGAGCAGTATTTAACACATAGTAAGTGCTCAGTAAATCTTCTGTTACTAATGCTATTGTTATTGTTAATACCAGATGAGAAATAGGAACTGGAAAAAGTGAAGCATCTACCTGAGATCACACAGCTGGTTGGAAGGGGAGTTCTGGCTCAGCCAAGGGTTGGGAGGCTTCTGGAACTGGACTCTTTCCGCTGTATTTTCTTCGTGTAACCTAAGGTTCTGTCAATGAGGTCAGCCTTTATCTTTTAATTCAATCCTTCATTTTCTTCACTCCTTTTCATTTTCTTTCTTTCTCACCACTTAGAACTGTTGGGTATTGTCTGTTGGGTTAGAATTTGCCAGACACAGCAGTAGCAAGTTTTGGAATGGCCCCTTCTCTATGCTCTATGGGTAGGCTCTCCTTGACATGAAGGTGTCACTCTGAATTCTGTGTATACACACACACACACACACACACACAAGAACATCTTATAACTATTAGAGTATACAAGGGCATACTTTAAGTGCTTTAAATATTTATTTATTTAGTGTGTGTATGTGTAGGTCAGAGGAAACCTTGTAGGAGTCAGTTCTCTCTTTCTACCCTGTAGGTCCAAGGGATTAAACTGAAGTCGTCAGGCTTGGTGACAAGTGCCTTTGTTGGTGAGCCATCTTGGCAGTCCACTTTAAGAGCTTTATAAACAAGTCATTAATACTTCTCAGTGCTCTATTATTTTTCCTCATAAAAAGGAGAATATTAAAATTTTGGTGGTGCTCATTTGTCTTTTCACATCCCCTTACAGTAGGCTGAGCAATGGTTGTATTAGCCCTATTTGGGGGAAGCCACTCGAGTGTGAAAGGAACTTGGACTTCAGGGTCAGATGGGCGAAGCTCAGATTCTAGCTTCTCCATGACCAGTATGAGTCCCCAAGTTTCACCATCCTCTTCTGTACCATGGAGAGGTGAAGATTTGTGGCTGATTCTTTTTACACACTCCGCGGTATCAAGGAGCTGACTCTAACCCAAGGTCACAGCGAGGCTGGCAGCGAGACTCTTACTTACTCACAGACTGCCGTAGGAAGTGCTTCATCTGGGCGTGTTGGTTCTTTGCATTTTAAGTACAAGTGTTTTGACCTTTCGGTCACTAGTTTATTTTTAATGTGTCTATTATGGCCACTGGCTGTGTGTACCATCAGGTCATGTGCAATGCCTTTGATGCCAAAATCCCAGGTTTACCTCATGTCACAAGGCAAAGTTAATGTTAGTGAAGTCACATGACCAAGGAGAGCCATGACAGCCACTTGCTGAAGCTGTCAAATGGTGTTTGGGCATCTCTTCTCAGGAGGGAAGGCAACAGCAGTTTATGGAGTTTTTAGTACATACCTGGCAATGATACTGAGGAAACACTACAGCTTAGCTCTCCCAGACTCAAAGGTTTTTGAGGAGAAGAGATGAAGTGGAAACATGATACAGTTAAGGACCAGTAATAAATACCCGGATCCAGGCTGGACTACTTAAGTAGACTGTGGAATAGGTGTTACATGGACCCCCATAGTCTGCTGGAGAGAGACAAGTAGACCCACTTAAAGTATGACTCAAAGTGATCATAGAGTTAGAAGTAGGGAGAGCAGAGAGGAGTTCTGTGGCATGTGTAAATTTGGGGGTGCTGAGTTGTTGAAACAGGGATAGAAGAGTCCTGAGGAAAGGTGAGTGCCGGGCAGTCAGGAAGAGCAGCATTTGTCTTTTGTTTCTGGACTGGAGGGTTTGTGGGAACAGTGGGAGAACAGGCTGGAGGGGAGAGCAGAGAGCTAAGTCGTTGAAGAACTTGTGCACCATGTCGAGAAGATGTAGGTAAGCAAGTGGGCAAGAGAAGGCTGTAGTATACCAGTGTTTTGGCGTGATCACTCTGAACATCTAATAGAATAAGTGAGAAATAAAGTTCCGAATTAAACCTCAGAAGAACAAACAAACAACCAGATAGCATTGTGGGTCACTAGATGGCACTGTCAGAGCTTCAGGGGTGAGAGAAACAGGACACCAGAGTGGGCACGGCATTTCAGGAAGCCTCCATGATGGCAGAGAATCTGAGTGGTCAGCTTGCTCATATATGGCCAATGATCTGGATATTGAATGACAATAGGATTTGTATAGGAGGCAGGAAGTGGCACCGGGTTGTATAAATATGTGTGAGATGGTCAAGAAGACACCTCTACTTAAAAACAATGGTAAATAATCCAATTTCATGTTCAGTTTGGTTGTAAGTTTCGAAGGCTTTGGATGCAAGATGAAAAATTTGAACTTATCATATCAGTCAATAAGGAACAACTAATGATCTCTTAGCGTTTTCAGTATGGCTCAGGACCATGCCTCTTCATCCACGTTTCTTCATCATGGTTGTACCCAGAGTGAGACGTTCTGTTCTTGCACTTAACGGACATGTCAGAGAGGCAGCCTTACTTTTGGCTTGGAGACTCTGGCCCTGTTTTGGAGGCACTGGCATAGTCACTTTTTGGAGACAAAGGCAAACGAATTAGTGCCAGAGGCCAGAGACAGTGTCAACAGGAAGATGAGGAAAACTGCCTGCACTGTAGTCCTGGAGGGGTACAAAAACCAGCACGCATGTTCTGGTCTCAATCGAGACCCATTATGGAGTGCTTACTTGATCGTGCTGTTTTCCTCCTGGGTTCAATGGTAGTCTAGAACTGCTGTGAAGAGCACATTGCCCTCTGTAGTTACTGTGTAACTGACCAGCGTTGGTGCTGGAGTTCAGACCTATCTGACATAGCTGGCATGAAAACTAGGCTCTAACTATATCCCAGTACAAATGGATGTTTGCTTCTCCAGGTGGAACTTGCAGAGATCTGTGCCAAGAGCGAGCGTTACGTAGGCACTGAGGGAGGAGGCATGGACCAGTCCATCTCATTTCTTGCAGAAGAAGGAACTGTAAGTAGCATTGAGCCATTTGGAAATTTCGACTTGGGAAAGCATCTCTGGAGGGGAAGGCCTGCAGCCCCCAGCACGCGTGGTTATAGGAAGTCTGGTCTCTCAGTCTCTGCTGGAGAACATTGTCCAACTCTTTTGTAAGTCAGGGCTAACAGTAGGGGATGTACTCCTTTCATATCGATTCCCTCTACCTTAAGCATCCAGAATTACACTTGAAACTTATTTTTCTCATGTGTCTAGATGTCCCCCCACCCCCCATATCTCATTGCTAAGATGAGATTTCTCAATTCCCTCCTTGGGACCTCCCTTCCTGACCTTGCATGAAATCACTTCATCTTGTGGTGTTTCATAATCTCACGTTGGCTTTAAACCCAAATGTTAGTTCTCTTACCACATATATGCATAACCCCTCTTTTTGTAAATTACTCTTTGGTGTCATTTTTCTCTGTCAACATTTTTGGGGCTTTGGTGGTGGGAGGAAGAATGTTGATGGCGGGCCAGGAATAAATTCTTCGGTTCAATACCACTTCCTCTTGGCTATCAGCTCCTTCAGGCAAGGCAGAGGTTTGGGTTTTTGCCTATGAACTGCCCATTACCAAAATAGAAGCAGGCATCTCTTTAAAATCTGTCTTAGTTTTTGCATGAGATTCCTTCAGGTTTGGCTGTTTTCCAAGAACACCTGGATCCTTCTTATTAAGAATATGTTTTTGTTGATTCTTCTAAGTCAAAGACATGGGGTATGAGGAAATTTGTTTTAACACTAAAATTATACTTTAGGTGTTTTGGATGTGAACTGGCAAGCAGATGTGGTAGCAGGAGTTCTGTTGTTAGTGTAAGGCAGGTCCAGGGTCTGAAGAGAGTCCTCGTTCTCTGGACTTTCAAAGAGCATCACCACCTGACTTCCAGTTTCTGCCTCCGACTTAGCCTCTCACTCCACAAGCTCTAGGCTTCAGCCGGGTAGCAGTGCCTAGAGCTCCATTCACACCAGTGCCGTTTGTTTCCTCTCCAAGTACAGAAACTTCTCTGGTTCTGACGTCTCTAAGCATCCCTCAGGACTCAGTGTCTACTTCCCTTCTCAAAGGCTGCACTAAGTTGTCTGGTGAGGGCCTTCCTTTAAGCATCTGTGTCAGACCCTGAACTTCACGGCGCTCCCACGGACTCCCATGGAAACATAATTTCGTGTCTTCCTGCAGCAACCGTGGACCCCAGGAGGGCAGAGTCAGCACCTGCCCCGCTCACTGTTGTGTCTCTAGTGCCTGGTGCAGTGCCCCGCTATCAGGAAATGATGTCTGAACGAATGCGGTGTTTTTGTAGAAGACTTTCTTAAGATAAAAATCAATGCATGAAAGCTTGAACATTTTTTCTGAATCTTACTAAATTACTGTCTCCCCTGCCACTTTTCTTCCAATAGGCCAAGTTAATAGAGTTTAGTCCGCTGAGAGCCACTGACGTGAGACTCCCCAGTGGAGCGGTCTTCGTGATTGCCAACAGCTGCGTGGAGGCGAACAAGGCAGCCAGTTCCCATTTCAACGTCAGGGTGATGGAGTGTCGGCTGGCTGCAAAGGTAGGGACGTGGCAGGCCAGCGAAGCTTGCAGTTTGCCTGTTCTTTCCTGCCTATCCTCTACTGACTTGCAGTTTCCCCCACAGTTTAGAGCAGCGCTCTGACTGTAGGGTAGTCCTGTAGCCGCAAGTATTCGGGTCCAGAGCAATCGGATTCCAAATAGATAAGCCAGCAGACGCATCTTCTGCTCTGTGCTAGCTCTTCAGGAACTGGACGAGCTTCAGAGCTGAGTCTTCTGGGTGACCCTGGGAAAGAGAGGAGCACAGGTCAGAACAGAAGCAGACATCGCTTCAGGAGCGAACTAGTGTGAGTTTGTCCCGTAGGTGGAGAGACGGTTGGGGAAATGACAACAGCTGATCTTCTTTTCCCAACAGGGATCCTGGCAGCCTGGCTCCTCCCCTCATCCCGTAGGACACTTCAGTTTGGCATTAGGACATTACCAATAGCTCAAAATACAGATGTGATGGTATCCCGTGAGCTCAGAAGGAAGATTTCTTCATGCATCTGCTGGGCAAATACCTTACCAGGAGGGAGGCAAGGCTGGGCTCTGTTCCAAGTGCAGGACCTTTGGCAGCCAAGCCCTACATTTATTAAGGAAGTGTTTACTGCGTCACTGTTGGACTGTGTGCAGCAGGTATAGCAAGGGGTCCAGGACACAGGGGCAGAGAGAGTGGAGTTAAATTCCAGATGCAAACGGAAGCAGGTAGCACAGAAGCAGGTAGGGAGCCATGCGATATACTAACACAGGACAAAGACATGACCCATTACAGGGGACCCAGAATGGCATGTCATGTGACCAGGAACCTGCAAAAAACCAGACTGGACACCGGAGTTTGGATTCTGGGTCAGGAGTTCCTCTGCACTTCCTTCTCTCTTCTTCTGTTGATCTCATCCCTGTCCACACTGCAAGCCCCACCCCTGTGCTGATGAATTCCTGTGAGCATCTTCTGTGTTCCATCATAGCAGAGTCCCCAAAGTGTCGATTCTTTGTCTGAGGTCTCTATTTGAAAGAATTATGGACCTCTCGAGTCAGCATGTCCACACTGAGCTCAGTCTCTCCTCTGCCCCCGAAAGCCTTTTACTCTTCTGTCAGTGAGATTGGCTTGTATCAACTCCTGTATTCTCTTCTGCCCCGTTCCTTAAATCTCTGTTTGTCTTCTTCTCCCTCATTCTGCAAATAATGGGATGATGGTTTAGAAATTTAGCGTGATCAAGCAACCCCCCTTGTTTACCACTTCCTCAAAGTATCCCGTTGCTTTGGTATAAAGTAAAGAAGCCTTGTTGTACTGAACTGGGTTGAGCTGCCAGTAGTTGGGAAGGCGCTGTCAGGCAGTGGAGGAATTCACTCTTAACCATCACGGAAAAAACGTATAGTGCAAGAAGGAAGTGGTCGTGGCAATGACTCCAGTACCACCTACAGCACAGGACTCTCGGCTGGGGTGAGGGTGGGGCTGGCCTTCCCCTGTTTCGTTAGGGTGAGTTTCTTTGTATACACTTCCCTGGCCTGTAGTCCATGCCATGTGAAGGGGGCAGTCCAGGCTGCCCGGGCACCTCACCTGCTGCCCATACAGTTTCTAATTGTGCAGTCTCCACCGTGCAAATAAGGGAAGTCCTGGCTGTTCATAGTTCGGTCCTGGTCCAAGGCTCAGGTTACAGGCCTCCAGGCTGAAGTTCTATGGTGTTAGGTTACAGCATTCCAAGACTGGCAGTTTGGGATTCTTGGACCATGCTAGTGAAAATACTCTAATGGGAACCAGCCCCATTTTCTGATCTCTTATTAATTGACATCCTCTCATACTTCACTATCACGGTGAGGCCTAAGGCTGATGAATCTTACCTCAGCATTTCCTAGCATCCCCTGCAGTCACTATGGCACAGTTACACCACTCTCCTCTCAGGGGACTTCCCACATTTCCAGGACAGTTTTTTTCTTAGCCCTCTTTGAAATATTTCTAAATGACCCTCAAAGAAGCTGTCCTTGACTTCCTTGTTCCTAAGATAAGTAGAGATCCCTCTCCAATTTGTATCACTTATATTTATTAGGTGTGTAGAGGGATTCCTACACTTGTAAAATATTTTCAAGTAGAGAGAAATAATTGGGACAGAGTAGTCAATCCTTCATTCCATAGATTTTGTCCTGGGCTCATGGCAGCCAATTAGGGACATAAAAAGTTAACGAGTTTTGTGTAGTTCATTTCTCAGGTAAAATGGAATGTGAACCAAGAGACAAATGTTAAACAAATGCCTGTTTCCAGAAAACACTGTTGACTTGTGGTTATCCACTGCCTGTGGCGCTTATAATCTTTATGCCCTCTTTTCTGCAATGATCCCCAAGCCTCGGGAGGAGGGGTGTGATACAGATGTCCCTTTCAGGGCGGAGCGTTCCAAGTCTCTTATTCTCTGCACCTTGATCAGTTGTAGGGCTCTATATTGATGACCATCTACTACTACTCTTGTTCTACTAAATGGGTATAGTATTAAACTACATTATTAAGTGCTACACTGTGTTAAGTTCTAATGACTTAGCGTTGTAGTACCATAGATTAATGCGTCCCTCAACTCTCCTCAGAATCTTCTTTCTGACTCCACTTTATAAGGCTGTACAGTTGGGAGAGTATAGCTACAACAATTTAGGACAATGAAGTTGTTTTTTTCTTCATGGAAAATTTGGGGGTTGAACTTTTCTTTTTTAAATAAAGATTGAGATCTTTGAATTTGAAATTTACAGATTGAGATAACTGTTAAAATTATGCAGGAAAATGTTTTCATATTAAGCTTCACAGTATCTCGTCAGTACACACATTTGGAAGAAGGCTCGTTCACTGACATTTTCTGCTGCGCCACACTTCCTCCTGGGGAGGTGGAAGACTTCCGTATTATCCTTGAAGGCTTACTCATTTGTTTTTTTCTCGTGAGGTTGATGAGTAAGTGTTGTCTTCCCAAGGAGACTCCAAACATATACAACATTATTTTCAGGGTTTTAGCACGGAATTCAAGCCCCTCTGCCAGAGCCACAGCGACCTGGAACAAGTGTGATGCATGTGACGGGTTCATGCTGTGACTGCTCTCTTCCAATGACACCGGAAGGATCCAAGGAGCTGGCTGTGTCTTGGAAGCTTTACTGAAAGTTCCTGGCCCTTTGGGGAATGTCTTCAGAGAGCTGACTGGAAGAGGCGGCATGTCTTTTGTAGTCAAAACTCTTTTTTTTTTTTTTTTTTTTGGTTTTTTGAGACAGGGTTTCTCTGTGAAACAGTTCTGGCTGTCCTGGAACTCACTCTGTAGACCAGGCTGGCCTTGAACTCACAGAGATCTGTCTGCCTCCGCCTCTGCCTCCCAAGTGTTGGGATTAAAGTGTGTACCACCACTACCCGGCGTAGCCAAAGCTTCGGCGAAACTGTAGGTCAGAACCTCTTATTCTTGAGGATGTCTTCTAAAGACCTTGCTATGTAGCCTACTAGGCTGGCCTAGAACTGGTCTAGAATAGCCTCAAATTTGCCATCCTCCAGCCTCCATCTCCTAAGTGTTGGGATTATAAGCATGTGTCATCACATGCCGTTGAAATGTGATTGGAATTTAATTGTATAACTCCATATGTGTTTAAAAGTGCTTTGTCATTGAAATTGGCAACTGAATTTGACTATTTGGTACACATTGCTCCAAAATGATATAGATAAAACACATTTTAAAACCAAATTTTCTTATAAATAAGACTTCATTCAGTTAAAAGCAGCCCAGTTCCTTCCTTTCAATTAGTTCTTTGAGAATTTCATGCCATATATTTTGACAGTAACCACCCTCCCCCAACTCTTTCAGATCCACCCTATCTCTTAACCAGCCATATTTGTGTTCCTTCCTCTCCTTTAAAATTTTTTTTTAAATAAACCATGAAGTTCATGATGTGTGTGGTGGTATATACCTTTAATCCTAGCACTGGGGGAAGCAGAGGATCAGCCTGGTCTACATACTAAGTTCCAGGCCAGCCATTGTGACATAGAAAGAACCTGCCTCAAAAACCAAACCAAACTGACCCAAATGAAACAACAACAATAGCACTCCAAATCCACAAACCCCAACTAAACCATCAAGTCCCATTGTTCTTGGATGTGTGGTCATACGCTGGAGAGCATGGTTGAACTACCAGGGGCCAGACTCTTAGATTTGACTTAAAGAAAATGGACTCCGCATTTCCCGTCAGCTATCATTGCTGGTAGTTCCTTGACTAGGGGTGGGACACCATGTCCACCTCCCCTCTCCATGCTGAGATACTGTCTGTCTTGAGCTTGCCCAGGTCTTACTCATGCTGTCACAACTGCTGTGAGTTCATCAGTGCTGCTGCCTGCTGTGTCCAGACAACACTGTTTCCTTGTAGTCCTGCACTGCCTCTGGCTACTAGAGTCTTTCCACCCCTTCTTTCCCAATGAGCATTGGGAGGAAGGAATATGATGTGATGTCCTATTTATGCTGAGAATTTTGCAGTCTCCTGTTCTCTGCAACTTACCTAATCCTGGGTCTCTATTAATTGCCTCTACTGCAGAAAGAAGCATTTTCTGGTGTGAGTTAAGAGATGCAATAATTTATGGATATAATAATACATAATTAGGAATTGGTTTAATACTATGTCTATTCAGCAGAATAATAGTAGTAGCTTCCCTCCTAGGGTCCATGACCTGTCTGGCCTCAGGTTCTTGGACCCAATAGTTATGTCAAGTATGTGTTTCATCTGATGGAGTGAGCCTTAAATCCAATGGGAAGTGATTGGTTACTCCATGACATTGATTCTACTGTTGCACCAGCAAACATGTTGAGCTAGGCCAGTTGTTGTAGCTCGCTGCTACAGGAGAAAAGTAATCACCAATCTTACCCAAATATGAACACTGAAAGCCACAGTTCATTTTTAAAGGGAAAATATAAGAAGGTAATATAATATCCATTTAAAATTATAAATTAGTTTCTTTTAAAAAATGGAGGAGAGTTGAGATATCATTTGTCCTCATTCTAGCTT